TATACTACCGAACGGCTCGTGCACTTGCGAGTATCACAAGTTGAGGATGCAACTGAATCCATTTTGGTGCAGCTGTATCTACGCAACAGTAGTCGAAACTTATAGTTTGGATTAGACATAATTAGAACTTTGGGTTCTAAGATTTTTGAACTCCGGGTCATTTTAGGAACTTCATGTCCTTAAATATAAATTATTGAAATGAAAACAAATAACTAAATATAACAATAAAAATAAAATAATAATTAAAAACTAAAATAAAATAAATTGTTGGAACTTCTGGTTTCAGTTAAATTAAAATCAAAGAACTGCAAGTCTTGATTTGCTTTCTGAGAATTGCAGAACTCCAAGTCCTTGTATAGATATTATATGGATTGAGAACTAAGAGACTTCGGGTCTTTCTTTAATTAAATAAGAATAATTTAGGGACTTCGGGTCCTTGCATAAAATAAAAATGAAACCAAAGAAAAGAACTAAGTAAAAATAAAATAAAATAAAATAAATTGTTGAAACTTCTAGTTCCAATGAAAAATGAATCAAAGAGCTTCAGGTCTTCATTTGCCTTTTAAGAATTGGGGAACTTCGAGTCCACAAATATTTATATTACATCTAAGGATTGAATAAGAACTAAGGAACTTCTAGTCCTCGATTAGTTGTATAAGAATAGAAATTCTTGAGTCTCTCACTTTGCTCCTTGATGAAATCTTGTAAGTAGATAAACAAGATAGATATATATAGTAAAAATGCATATTTGTCAAAATTCATACACTGCATATGTAAATGAGAAATATAATAAAACAATTCTTATATGTTTGGAATCTTGTCATTCAACTTCTTTTTGTTGATGCACTTCTTTCCATTTGATAAGCCTATGTAACAAGAGCTTTCATACTTGAGACGAAACTGTGATATCTCAAGTGGTTAAGACTCGTGCTGATAACGTTTTATATAACTAAGAGAATTTGTAGAGAGAAATGAGGAGTATAGGAAGACAATAGAAATTAGTCTCTAAAACTTGTCATCTTCTTCTTTGATAATCACTTATTTGTAGGCTTACAATGATAGGAAGCTAACCCACATATTATGAATTAAAGGCTACTAATTACATAGGTTACAATATATCAAAAGGTGGAGATAATCGATATAATGGTGGTCATCCGCATTCTATGTATTTATAACAAATTATTATTTTATTATCAATCCCTAAACTAATTTTATTTATTCATAACAATTTATTGAACCGAATTTCAAATAGATGCAATTGAATATGTCTTTATTTAAAACAAAGCTCGTTACACCAAAACATAATAATTGAAGTCAATATTGCAACCATTGAAAACAAAAACAAAAAATTCATGACAATGAAATTAAGATGATGAAATCCTTTCAGCTACTATCTTCTTTGGAAGCCTCATGCAGCAAATTGGATCTACATTTACAAAAATAAAACATAAACACTAATTAGAATGAAGTACAACAACCAAACAATCACAAAGCCTCAAAATATGTATGTAGTATGTATCTAGAAAGAAAGAACCAAATCCAAGCAGCATATGTAAAACGAAAACCCTCCATATGAGTGAAAAATAGGGATGAAGAAAGTAAGGACATTCGGAAGACAAATGCTCACCAAGCTTAGCCAAATGGAGAGAAATGCCTTGTAACTATTGCTAATCCAATTAAGTAATGCATGGTCTAAGTAGTTAGCAAAGTCTTCCATGCTTCTTGTTCGTATTCCTGGAGTTAGTGGCAGACGCAAGGTTGTGACCTCATAGGGTCATAGTGTAAAACTGTCAAAAAAAAATTTAAGAAGAAAATAACACTAAAAAATAGAAGAATAGTACTTCCACATATAACAATCAACAAGTTGTAATCAATCACAGTCAAATAGCATATTCAATAGAACAATAAACTTTAATTCACTAATGAAACCATGAGAAAGAAAAAAAAAAAACAATCTTATTTCATTGTTACATGTTAATGGTTCATATCATCACTATAGGCCGAGCCGATCAGAGAGCACCACCTAGCCACAAAAGACTAGATCGTCCTTTTACTGACCTGACCAGGTTGACCACCCCAGGTGTCAATAAAAGGCCTCCTAGCTGAGCCTGTCAGGAGATATCGTGCGAACCAGTCTTCGGGCACTCATACACTGACCCGACCACTAAGATGTCATATGACCAAAGACGGAGGCCAACAAAGAAGATAGTAGCTGCATTTTGCTCAAATCTTGCTAGAAAGGAGATCTTTATCTTTAGCCCTTCCCAATGGTGGGATTGGAGAGCAAGCATGGGCGCCTATCACCATGTTGGTTATAGGGAAGATAGTAGATCCAGTTTGCTACATGAGGCTTCCAAATAAGATAGTAGCTGAAAGGATTTCATACACCTAATGCCAGCATGGCAATGGAGATGGATCATTTAATGCGCTTCACATCCAAGTCAGGTGTCGCCTTGCTACTTGATCCCTGGTAACTAGCATGGTAATGGAGAGGGATCATTCAATGTACTTCACATCCAAGCCAGGTGTTGCCTTGCTACTTGATCCCTGTAACCAACATGGTGATAGGCGCTCATGATTGCTCTCCAATCCCACCATTGGGAAGGGCTAAAGATAAAGATCTCCTTTCTAGCAAGATTTGAGGAAATCTGATCTCTCCCTCTCCCCCTATAAATACCCTTCACCTGTATTAGGACAAAGGTAATAAATATTCTCATCTTGAAACTCTTCATCCTTCTCTCCACTCTAAAACCACCTCTAACTTAGCCATTGGAGGGGGATCAACTGGGATCCAACCATCTGTCCCTCTTCTGATAGTTGCTTGAAGTGTGCAGGTCATCTCAAGAGAGCAGCTTGCCCCTACGATCGGGGCCACGTCCTAACCTTAACCCAAGTCAAGGCCACCAGTACAACAAGACAGACACCAGTCAACATTTGGCGCTGTCTGTGGGAACATCTCGTGAACAGAAGTCGCATTCCCTCATCCAACCGAGCTCCAACACAAGCAAGACCAAGCTATACTGAAGAGTTAGCATCTCAAAAGGAAATCCCCTTCGAGTACAGTCGGGAGAAACACACAGAGGCTGAAGAAGGAGAAACAGAGAATGGACCATTTGAAGAACTTAGAAGACAAGATGAACCAAATCCTTAGAGGTGTAAAGGATGTCCAGAATCTCCGCAATAGCCTCTGCGCGCAGAATGAAATACTACAAGAAAGCCATGCCGAATTGGTAGAGATGGTGGACGCGCAACAGGACTAAGGGGCGATCGGTACCAAAGATACTAGCCGAACCTCATCCGAATCAATGGGGGCTGAGACATCAGAGCAAGTAGCAACCAACACAAGGGCCATATTCAAGGAAAAGAGAGCTGGTAGGAGAGCAAAAAACATCTGGTAGGAAGTTTGCAGAAAGAGAAGGCTCAGGTCGGAATGAGTGATATCGAGGAGGATGTCAATGGCATCACCTTTAGGCTCAAAGATCTGGTCATCGGTGAGTTAAGGAGTGTTTGGGATCAGCTCAGGCAGGTAGAGAAATCGAAAATGCCCAAAGGACCGGAGTTCACCGAGGAGGAAATCCCGCTACCATATACCCAGGACCTTCTGGAGGCCAGGGTAGTGGGAGACTCAAAGGCCCCAAAGATCCCCTTATACGATGGAATGACCGACCCTTACGACCATCCGGATAATTTCAATTATCCCATGGAGGGACGTTGCGCGAACAAGGCAACCAAGTGTCGCATGTTCCCAACAATGATCAAAGGCCCCGCCACGAGTTGGTTTAAGAGACTCGCTCCGGAATCAATCTGCTCTTTCACCGAACTCAGAAAGGTCTTCCTGGAAAGATACATGATCATTTTCGATTGGCTGTACACCATAAATGACTTGTCAACAATTAGGCAATGATTCGATGAGAAACTCAAGGACTATATCACCCGATTCAACGAGTATGCACGGTAAAGGATGCGATGAGGCCACAGTACACAATGCACTGATGGGCGAGCTTCATGGGGGACTTCTGTTTTTCCCTCACCAAGAACCCCCCCTGAGACATATAAAGACCTCCTCCATGAAGCCACCAGCTACTCAGGAGCCGAACAGTTGAACTTAGAAAGGAAGGCGATCGTCAGACCAACCTCGAAAGCCCAGGCATCACACCAGCCCAAGGAAAAGAGACCTAATGACTACTCCTATGACTGATCGGCGAAGAGGAAGAAGGGGGAACCTAGCTCCTCGGCTAGGCAAACGAGGTCAGACCCAAGATATATAATCAGTACACAAATTATACCCCCTGAACAAATCTAAGGGGGAGATCTTCGGGGTGATAGCCAATGAGCTTCCCAACCCGAGAAAAATGAGGTTGCCATACCGAGTAAGGAAAGATGACAACAAATACTACAAGTATCACCGCGACTATTGCCATCATACGGATGATTGCTACCAGCTCAATGAGGAGATTGAAGCATTAATCGGGCGAGGTAGGCTAAAGGAATATGTAACAGGAGAGGCAATAATAAGTCCATAAATATACCCATTTATGTACTCTTTTTACTTAGGTTTTGTAGGAGAATTATGTTTAAAAAGGGCTTATTACTTTACCTTTCTGATTTTCAGCTTTTCTGCACTCTTAGAAAGGTTTTAAGGGAAAACCAACTTTTTGGAGGAATGTTAGCGCAAGGCCAATTGGAGATGAAAGATAACATCTTGAAGTTCAATCTGTAATTTTTCTAGAATTTTCTACGGAGCCAATTGGTACAGTATTACAAGTAAAGTTAGCCGACATGGATAGGACAGTTTCGTACATGTTACATGAAATGTGAAGAAACGGAAGCCTTCCCAAATTTTCCAAGTTACGTGCTATATATGGTTAGAAAGATAAGACATTTATCTAGCTAAATATATTTTTACTGATTTTTCTAGAAGGCCGAAGATCCCCAAATCGTGTGACAATTGGGCTGAGTTGTATTTCCCTGTGGAGTTAGGAATTGTGATCTTTACTTTCCTATTTGAATTCCTTGCTTACCAAGACTTCTTGGATGAATTTTCAGTCAATTTTAGGGTTTAGGACTCTGATATAAGTCATATAAAAGGCCAGCCAAGGCCTCGATACAAAGGATTCACGTCCTAAGGAGATCAACCGCGCAAGAGGAGAGAGTTGCCAACGAGTTCTTTCTTTTCCTTTCTTCTTTTAATTTTCAGTTCTTATGTACTTATTTTTGAGTTCATCCAAGAAATAACAAGTTTGAATGGATTTTTCAGTTTCTACAAGCATGATGATTTCAGTTTCTCTATGTCATGTGAATTCTGATATTCTGTTTCTTTGTGTCTGCCGCGCAAATCTCACGGCCTGGAGTTCCGGGCCGAGGGGATGTGCGTTAACACGGGGTTTCCTGCTTTTGGGTGCGATGCGGTTGTGCGCGGGCGTGCCAGCACGGTTTACCGTGCGTTGATGTTTCGGTGAGTGTTGGATGGGTGAATGGTGCGCCTGTCTGATCTGTCTTCCTGGTCAAACGATTGTAGCCGAGAGAGGAACTGGTCTCGGCTGTTAGGTTCACGGCCTGAACTACAAGGCCGTCGAGTGATGGTGTTGGTGGTGGGTTTTGGGCGGTGCTCCGGCGCGCTGCTCAGGGAGCGACGGTCGTGTGATATATGGGGTGAGTGAACGAACAAATAGAGATGGTGCTCCGGCGCCTTGAAAATCAAGGGTCGTATGATATATTGATGAATGGATTCTGCTTACAACCTAACACTACTCCTAGGAAAGCAAGTAAAGATATTGAAAGTGCATTACAGAAGAAAATAAGTTGCTCC